TGCACATGCATAGTAGCCCACGCCGACCCGCGAAGACTGTTTGTGCGCATTGAGCATGCTGCACTGAGTTTGACAGCCATTGTGCTTCATGCGCCCTGTTTGGGCAAGGCCACCGGGGATGCAACAGCACCCATAGATGCCGTCAAGCAGTGGTGGATCCAGACAACTGCTATATGGCACCAGGCCGTTTCCACAGAGATGACATGCGTCCTCATTGATGCAAACGCCACACTGGCCTCCGCAACCACCGAATTCTTCCAGCAGCACGATGCCGATGCCACTACTCCCCAAAGCCTTATCATCTTTGAGGAGTTTCTCTGTGAACACGCCTTGTTTGTGCCGTCCACGTTCCAGGCTATTCACTCTGGACCATCGTTCACCTGGACCCATTCCTCAGGCAGGCGCATGAGGATCGACTATGTCCTTCTTAGCCGAGCCTTGTTTGGCATGGTGACCCAATCCGAAACTTGGCGATCCTACGATGGTACCTTTGCCCACGAGGACCACATTCCGGTAGTCCTGTCCTTGAAAGGCTGGATCCATGCCCACCAGGCTGCCCCTCAGCACTCGTGGGATGAATTTGCGCTGATGGATCCGACCAGATGCACCCAATTCCAAGAGGCCCTCGCGACATTGCCAATCCCTCCATGGGAGGTTACAACTGATGCGCACAACTTGCTGTACGAAACCCAGTACATCCAACTGGCCAAGCAATTTTTCACTAGAAAAAAGGGGGCGAAGCGGCGCCCAACCTTGAGTGCCCCCACACTCGATGCCATTGCTTTCAAGAGGCACGTCCTGGATTGTGGAAGAGCCTGGTCAGCCATGACCGACCCTGATTTCAAGGAACAGCTCAAGCTCATTGAACGCACAGTTCGTCGCCTTGTCTCTGCTGACTTGCAAGTCTTCTTTGATCAGATGTTGGTGCGCCTCCAAGAAGCTGGCCAATTGTCAGATCACAAGCAAATGTTCCGCATGTTGGCAAGACTTGGCAGCCGAAAGCATAAAACTCGCATGCAGTCCAAGCCATTACCCATGCTACGCACCCAGCAAGGCGAAATGGTCACATCCTATGCTCAGCAACAAATGCTGTGGCTGCACCAATTTGCCCAGATTGAAGCCGGGGTCAGGGTCACCTGGGAGTCGCTCAGGGAAGCAGACGCCACCATGCCGGATCTGCCCCGGGACATTCAGGAGGCGGCAGCCTTTCCAACAGAGTGGAACCTGCAAGCGGCCGTGGCCAAGATGAAAAGGGGCAAGGCACCTGGACCCAATGGAATCACTCCTTGTCTTCTTAAGGCAGGGGGTAGCACTTTCTCAAAGCACTTCACCGCCCTTACAACTAAAATTGTGGCCCATGGGAAAGAACCCTCATCCTGGAAGGGAGGCAAGTTGGTGCCGCTGTATAAAGGGCGCGACTCCACAGCTGACCCAGCCGCTTACAGAGCCATCTATATCTCTGACCACACGTCCAAGCTCTACCATAGAATGTTGCGCAGTCAACTGGAAGGGCCATGGACCGCAAGCATGGACTTGTTGCAAGTAGGTGGTAGAAAATCAATGGGCACTGATGTGGCACATCACATGGTGGAAGCCCATCAGTACTGGTGTAGGAAGAGAAAGCTGCCGTCAGCCGTGGTCTTTTTTGATCTGAAATCGGCCTTTTATTCGATGCTACGGCAAGCACTCCTGTCCGACCAGCTGGACCCACAGCCAGTGGCAGCAGCTTTGCACAGCTGGGGAATCCCCACCCAGTTGATTGACATGTGGCTGCAGCAAGCCAGCTCCGACCACGCCATTATGAATGCATCTGCCCACACCGAGAAACTGATCCAAGACTGCATGCACAACACCTTCTTCACGGTGGAGGGGGTACCCGGGGTGTGCCACACCACGCGGGGGACCAGACCTGGCGACCCGCTAGGGGACCTGCTTTTGAACCTGATTATGCGATTGGTCCTGCACGACATGCATGCAAAGGTTCAGCAAGGCTCGAGGGCAATCTGGCTCGGAGCACCCACACACTGCAGTTCCTTTGCTGACGCCGAAGACATCCCACTTCATGCCTATTTTGATGTGTCCTTTGTGGACGACGCGGCCGTGGCCATCCATGCCGAGACTTTGCCAGAGGTCGAGGGCCTCATCAAGCTTGTGGTGGAATCCTTCCATGCAGCGGCAAGGGCGCGTGGCTTATAGATGTGAACTTCAACCAAGGCAAGACAGAGGTTCTCTGGGATATCCTGTGGAAAGGGTCCAAAGCCTTGAAGGAGCGCCTGCACGACTCTGGTCAATGGCTCTCTTGGCATCAGGAAGCAAACACATTCAACCTCCGCGTGTCCCATTCCTACAAACATCTAGGGTCCTGGATGCAGATTGGGGGATGCCACCAAAGGGAAATTGCCCAGCGAGCCTCCCTGGCCATGCAAAGCTGGGGATGCCTTGCGCGTTCCTTTTACCACAAGAGGCATGTCGGCCTCAAGGCCAAAACCACAGCTTTCCAGTCCCTTAGCATGTCCAGGATGATGTACAATGCTCACACGTGGGTTGGGGTCACCGATGACCACCTCGCCACATGGCAACAAAAACTCAGGAAACCCCTGGGATTGATGACTAAGCCCATGCTCAAAGGTATCGCCCCAGTCAAGGTCGATTGACCTTTTCGCCCTAGCCCAGATCCTGCCGCCCACGGACCAACTGCATGTGGCCAGGCTTCGATATCTCAAACGCCTATTGAAGTACTGCCCACAACCCTCTGGAACCTGCTTTACCAAACTGGTGAATGGCCCCACAGTTGGCTAGCCCTTTGCAAGTCCTCCTTTGCCTGGTTCTTGCAATTTTATCAGGTTCCCGGTGCCCCAACAGATGCTGCAGACCTTACGGCGTGGATCACATATGTGGCGCTGGACACCAACTGGAATGGGAGGCTCAAGAAAGCTGCCAAGGGATGCCTGAGCTTCCGCCAAGCGAATGCAGAGGAGCATGTTTGGCTCAAAGCTTTCCAAGCCAGATTCGTTGACGCAGGGGGCATCCTGCCCTGCAGGGCCATGTGCCCAGGCCACCCAGAGCGAAACCTGGGTCTGCGACCAATGTCAGAAAGCATTCCCATCCAAGCGAGCCCTCGCGACTCATTCTGGTCGTGCACACGGGTACAGACGCCTGGTCAAGTTTTATGCCATCGACCAGACTTGCAACGCCTGTGCCAAGACCTATGCCACACGCAAACGGCTCATCGAGCACCTCAGGGATGCCAAGGACTGCCTGCAGACCCTGCAAGCTTGCTTCCCACCATTGTCCGATGAGCAGGTAGTAGCTTTTGACACCGTGGATCACGAAACCACCCTCGCACTGCGTGCACAAGGATGGGGAGCCGCTAAAGCTCTGGCACCGGTGGCAAAATCCTGGGCCCGTGCTTGCCTCCGGCAGGGTCGCCGGAAGCTGCATATATGCACCTCAAGTGGAGCCAGCGCAATCCGGTAGCTGGCTCTGGTTTTGCGCAGTTGCAAGGGCATGCTATCGCCCAACATGAGACTCATGAGCCCAGGGTCATCCTGTTTGATGCTGACCTTCCAGCCTTTGTTTACCAGTCAGCGGCGGGTATGAACCCAGGCGATGGCAGATTTTCGTTGCATGGGCTGGCAAAAGAGACTGCCAGGTTGCACATCCGCACTCAAGTGTTTGTGCATTTCTTCTCAGGATACCGCAGAAGGGGCGACCTCCATGATCTGATTGAACATCACATCTTTCCCCAGGGCCACCAACTGTTTGTGCTTTCAGTGGACATGTGCCTGCAGAGGGAGAGAGGGGATTTGGCTTCCTCAGCCTCACTGGCATGGTGGATGGACCGCATAAAAACCGGCCAGATGTGCGGGGCCGGGGGGGGCCCCCCTTGCGAATCTTTTTCAGCTGCACGACTCCTGCAGGGGGGCCCCCCCCAGTGAGGTCAGGTAGCTGGCCAAACGGGATTCCCAACATTCCGTTGAAAGCATGGAGACAAGTGCTCATAGGGTCTAGACTGATGAGGTTCATCATTGATGTGGTGCTGGTCCTGGCCATGACCGGAGGGTGCGCTTTCGTTGAGCATCCGCAGTACCCGACGTGGGCGAAAGCGCTGGACCCATCCAGTGTTTGGACCCATTCAGCCATGCGTCTCCTCCGTACACTGGAAGCCATAGGCGTCACGAGCTTTGATCAGTGTATTTTTGGCTGTCGAGCCAAAAAGCCGACCACAATTCTCCATTTGCGCCTGCCGCAATTAAGGCACACAATTCTGACCACAGGGTGCATGGGACGTTGCTGTCACGGAGCCTCGGCCCACGAGGCGTTGGCAGGTCAAGAGGAAGATGGTGCTTTTAAGACGGCAAGGGGCAAAGTCTACCCCCATGGCCTCAATTTGGCCATTGCACAGGCGGTAGCAGATTTTGTCCAGCGAACCTTTGAAGTGTCGCCTGCTCAGCAGCTCCCCGCTGAGTTTGATGACCTGGTCGCGAATGATTTTGTTGAGGATGATGTTGTTCAGCCGGACTATTATGGCTGATCCATCCTCTGTACAGAGTAGCGCCAGGCCAAAGTGCAAGACCGAGCAAGGACTCCCTTGCAGCACATGGAAATGAAATGTCATCCTTCCATTTCATATATGGGAAAAAATCCAACCAGTAGAGCTACCCAATCCTGCGATTTTTCTGCAATCCATGAATTAAAGCACCCAAAAGGTCCATCGGTTTAACATCTGTTCCCTAACTGGCAATGTTAGGGTATTATTATCCCCTATGATTTGGACAGATTCACTGGATATTACTGGATATGGGGGAAATCTGCAGTAAAGCTTTTATATCTCAAAAATGTGGGGCCAAAAACCATGGTTTCAAAGTTTCAACCGTAGATATTGCATGATGTTATCTTAAAGTCTAAAAAAACACTGTTTTTTTAGTCACCTCAGTATGTTTGGTTTCCCACAATCCCACTATGGTTCATCCCCATGGTTCCTCCATGTTCCTCCTAAGGCCAGCATTTCGGCGAATCGCATCTCCTTCTGCCTTGGTCTGGAAGGTGTCTCTGTCACGGTGGACACAGCCTGCTCTTCAACACTGGTGGCATTGGATCTGGCCATGCAACGTTTGGCGACGCTGGAGGCAGTGCTGTGCAGTGGAGGTCAGTTGAATTTGATCGTGGAGTCTTGGAGAGCTCGGCTTCTGGAAATGGCTGATGGATAGCAGCATAGCAATCATTTTATGGGGATACAATGATATACAGTAATGACTATTAATCATAATGGGCTATCTCAAATGGATATAATTTGGGATTTGCTGGGATCCAATCAACTAAAGTATTGTTTTCGGTATAAAGAAACTACATATATATATATATATACGGTTGGGTTGGGGAAATGGATGGATTGATGAATGGATTTTTTGGGGGAAAACATTAGGGAAAGGATGATGATGATCTTGGACATGGATGGCTCACGATGGATCCATTGCTGGATCAACGATCGGATCAATGGATTTGGCTTTTGTTTTTATTGTCATCAAACATCATCAAACTACCCTCTGGTAAACGTTTACATAACTATGGAAAGATCCACCATTTTTAATGGGAAAATCCACTATAAATAGCCATTTTCAATAGCTATGTTAAATTACCAGAGGGTATGTTTTGTCAATATTGGTCACTTGGGAATACATCAAACAGCTCCAATCTTCGAGTACCATATTTGGGATGAACAGCAAAAAATCAGCTATTTTGCGCTTCATCAAGGTACCAGGATTTTGACACCCCAATTTACTGTGTGATACTGTGGAAGAATTCCGCACCAGTTGATCGATTGTTTATCCATGTTTATCCCGTTTTAATCTCATGATTTGCAGTGTTTACCAGTTACCAATAGTTCCTGACTGATGCAGGATTTCGCAACCATCCACAGTATGGCTGTGCTTCACTGTTCCTGAAAGCACTGAAGTGAGAATGCAGTGACGTCCAAAGACTTCATGTTCGGAAGAACTGTGCCGATGTCATACACTGATGTTGCTGGTGGCTTCAGATCAACTAATATAGGAATGATGGGGCCACTATGACCTGCGACCTTATATTTGCACGGAAGTTGAAACTGCTAAACCCAAGCATCATTGGATTGAGTCTGATGTCAAACGGGCCTCAGAAGATGGTTTCCAGATCATTTTGTCATTGTTTCTAATAAACTAAACACTGACCAAATGTTGGTTCCAATCGCTCCCATTTATTGCGCGTTGATACTCCCATGATATGCCTGCTTGCTGGAACTTGTCCCATTTGTATTCATTAAAACATGCGTTTCCGAATCAAAGAAATTACTTTGAAATTACAGTATTTCTCAGTTTTAGCCAAACCACATGGAATATATAATCATTGTATGGCTTTCTCATGATATACCAGAATATTATAGCAGAATAGTTTATTGTTTATCCCCAAGACATATGACACAACATAGATTCATAGATAAAACTTGGAAAAAAACACAAAAACAACAAAACAATCATGATATATAACATAGATTCATATAGGATATCCTCTTTAATTAACATCATAAGTCATGAACCGGGTATCTCAACTTTTTGGATGACAATCCTCTTTACCCTCAGCCTCATTGTGACTCATGCATTTTTTTGGGGGGGTTCAACCATGGACCTTCAGGCCTCCCTTGGGCTCCTTGGGACCCCAAGGAACCCTTCGTGTCTTTCTGCAACGGTCGGCTGCTGTCGCCAACGGGACGCTGTAAGACTTTTGAAGCCGCGGCGGACGGTGCCTGGGCTGTGGCCATCTGGTTATTTCGCACAGCTGGGGAAGGTGGTTTGGAACATGAATTTTATGACTTTCCATATATTGGGAATTTCATCGTCCCAACTGACTTTATATTTTTTTCAGAGGGGTTGAAACCACCAACCAGATAGCTATGGAAGCCATGGCCCATGAAAATAGATGATTGTGATGCGATCAAAATCCTGGCAGTACCATGATCATTGCATCATTACATTATTTTTTAATGGGACTTAAAGTCAGTGTTACCATCCTTCCAACTACCATATAGTCCGTGAAAATCAGCATTTCCTTTTTTTTTTAAAGAAAGTAGTCTTCCAAGCACCTGTTTGACAAGGTCACGGTGGAATCCCATAACAGTTGTGGCCTTTGGTCAATTACTGGATGATAGTTGGTTACCGGTCCAAGGATTTCTGTGGGAATATCCATGAAATCTGGGAGTGACTCCACAAAAATGAGAAGATTATATTAAAAAAGTCATCAAAATTATACTTGGTCTCATGGGGTCTCAGTTCAAGAACAGTAGTATACCCCCGCGTAATCATCACCTAACATCAGGGTATTTGACACAGCCAGAGATTTCCACCTTTCTGGCATATATATACATATAATTAATTATAATTATATACTTATACTTATATTATCTTATATTTGACTTCTTTTTGATGCCGAGTTGCACCTATTTGAAACCGGAGAATGTCGTAATCCCACCAGGGTTGTGATCTATGTTACAATGTTGAGACTTGCATTGGAACTGCAGAAACATGAAACGTATTGAAACGTCAAGTTCAACTGTCTTGAATCCATAAATGTGAAACAGTTCAACGTGTGGGTCAACATGGGTTGTTTTGCGGGCGCTAGTTGGCTGTGCCCTCCGTAGGTTAATAGTTTGATATGGAAAATGGCCAATGAAAATAGATCTTGCGATATATATATATATATATATGTATACATCCGTCAACTGCACCGCCAAGTACTTACATGTTTGATCGACGGCCAGAAACTGCGTGAGGCTTTGCACGGGGCGAAGGCTTTGGTAGCTTCCTCCTGGTGCAGGCGAGGACACTCATCCCAGTTCTGAATGGGGGTTTCCATAAATGGGTGTACCCTGAAAATGGATGGTTTATAATGGAAAATCCATCTATAAATGGATGATTTAGGGGTACCCCCATTTATGGAATGGAGATTAACCATCTAACATGGGAATATAAATATATAACCAATGATCCACATGCCATCCTGTTTCATGAGGTCAGCTAAATGGTTTTTAAGCCATGTACTGTATATAGAAGTTGCAACTTATTCTCAGCTTTGGCTGACATCCACTTATTTAGCCAATTGGCCCTGCTCCAGTGTTCATCTATAAGCAGTTGTTTACCCTGAGGGTATGTAAAATGTCAGCACAGATTGGTATATACAGCAAAGTGTTTGTAGCTGTCTGTAAGCTACGCATGCCTTATGATATTTTATTCATTTGAGAATTTAGTCGCTCCATATGAGGGTCCCTCAAATTCTTAAAGTAGTGGGAACTTGATATATTCCCAGGATGTAGTTGGGATTGGAGCCGACATTCTTATACAATGCATTCTTATACAGTGCTTGAGCTGTATTCAAAATGGTGAAACAGCCCATGATTCATCACAATAGTATCCGTTGCTGTTGGCTTCATCCATGATATTCCTCAAATCGTTCCCACAAATCCCATGTAATTTTCAGTATTCCCGTATACCCTCTGGGTATTTAACATAGCCATGGAAAATGGCCCGCATTTATAGATGGTTTACCTATTAAGAATGGTGGATCTTTCCATGGCACTGTCACGAACTGAAGAACGCCTCCCGAAGGCCAACATGGAGACAATCAGTGTCGCTGGTGCTATGGCGAACCAGGACAGCCGCGACGGTGATGGCTGGATTTGCCGATGATTGGATTTTTCCAGGATTCAATGGGAAATCCACTACTTGGGGCATCTAAGTTGTTGTTTCTGGTTTCTTATAAACTTGTAGCTATTTGGCATCTAAGTATAGTTTTTGTTTCTTAGTTTTTGGAGGTTCCGCAAATCCAAGAGCTGGCAAACAGCAAGGGATCAAATAAAGGGCCTAGTTGTTCGTATGTTTCTGGGACTTCTGACGAATTTTACAGCAAGATATATATATATATATATATTATATATTATATATATATATTCTTATATATTGTTATATAATTGTATAATATTATATATTATATATATATTATGTTTGAATTTGTGCTTATAGATCTCTAGATAATGCTACTGACTATCATGGAAACATGCATCCCCCAAAAAGGGGTGAATGCTGAAAGTACCAAATGGTTGGGGTCACACCGTCCAAAAAAATGCATGTGTGTGTATATATATATACATATGTAGTATTAAAGGTTGATGTTAACTGGGTAAAGAACCAATATAGTTACCATATGTTAGGGAACATATATATATATATATACATATCAATATGTGTATATATATATATATATGCATTCTGTACTGGAACATAGAATGGTTTATAGATGTTTATGTACTTATACACTTAAATATTAATAGTTCGTTACCAAACTTGGACCCATAGCCGTGCTGCTATTGGTTGAGGTAATGTACAGCTTGGTCCTGGCTGAGTCATCCACTCGGATGTGGTTTTTGCAACACCTGGAACGGATCGTTGTAGGGAAGGTTTCACCTAGAAATATGTATTCATATATATATATATATATATTTATAATCATATATAATCATATATCATCATATATAATCACATATATATATATAAATACATTCCCACATATTTGCATATTCATACATATGCGTACATATTCCCATATGTATATATATATATATTCGGGTGTATATTCTAGTATATTCCATTCAATGATTCCTATGGCGTGGTTGAATCGCAAACCTTATAAAGCAGGATGGTCGAAGCTCTTCCTTAACCGCACCAAACGGGCCGGCACAGCAACGGGCCATCACCGGGGCTCTTAGATTGGCAGGCGCTACAGCAGGGGATGTTCTTCCATGTTGGAACAGATACGAACAAATGGTGGTTTAAGCGTCAAGCATCAAGAAAATTGGAATTTAATGGGATTTCATGGATGTTTACCCTCATGTACACATGATTTGCCTATTAAACATGGTGATGTTCTACAACGATTTTAAATCAGCAGAGGGTAGATCTTGCAAAATCCCACAAAATGGTTGTGGAATTTAGTGTTTTCTGACATGGTGCACCACCTGCGTGTTGAACGTCCATTCCTAGATTGTTTTGGTACATGCGTGGCTCCCCAAGATTCCTTTTGTCCAAGCTATAATAGGGACGCAGCATGAACAACAGGTATTATCTCAAGAGAGATTTGTGATTTGTGTGTGTGATTCTTCCTTTGAGGCTTTGAGGCCACAGTTTTCCTGGGAAAGTCTTTGAATCTCACTGATTCGCGCAACACCATGCCAGGTGCGAATGGAGCAGAGATCACCGCGGCGGAGCCAGCGAGTTTTGGTGAAAATCTGAGATGACCAACACTTCAATCGTTTGCCCCACATCAATGTGAATATATGACTATATATGTGAATATATGACTATATATATATACACATGTGAACAATATATATATATATATATATAGACACACATATATGTGAATATATGACCAGCTTGGCCAGTGAGGATGTGCCACAACCAACATGTTTTGATCTGTTTTGATCAGTCCACGTTCGCCGTGTTGTGTGTTGGACAATGTTTTTTTGTTTTTGTTTTTATATATGTCAGTGTTGTGGGGTTTTGAACCAAATTTTGGGGATGGGCTGGGGTATGGTTTGGGGAGGCAACATCCTGTCCAGTGCGTAAAGGATGCTGCGCTGGTAGGTTTTTTCTTCTACGTCCAATCATAATTGATGCTACACTCAGAGATCGTTTCTTGTGCTTTCCAACATGATTGATGCTACGTTCTCTCTTCAACTGTCTAACATATTTGATGCTACGCTTTTAGATCCTATATATATATATATATCTTTGACTGTCTAATATCTTTGATGCTATGTTTTTGTATATATATACACGTATTACTTAAAAACATAATTCATGCTACGTTTTTAGATCTTCTCTTCTACTTTCTAACATATTTGATGCTACGCCTTTAGATCTTTTCTTCTACTTTCTATAGGGCAAACCTCCTCAGGAATCTTGTGAAGAAATCACAACTTCGAACATCTTGTCATGATCGAAATCATGGACTACGGAAAGACAAGGACAAATCAACAGGAGCTGTGGCTGTGGTCAGTTGGAGAAGACAGGTTCGATGTTCTCTGTTCCAAAAAACTTGGAAAACTCTGCAAAGAAACTCGCTGACCAAGACAAAAACCATGGGCGTAAGAAAACCGCTGACCCGCTGACCCTCGCAGTGTTTTCAACACACAGCCATTTTCCCACTGCCAGTGAAATTTGCATGCCATGCACAGTTAAAATTTCTTTGAAGTCTTCAAATACACAACGCTTGCAACATGGACATCTACAAGTCAAATACAATTCAAATGTGACAACAGTCCAGCGCTACGGGGCAGACCATGTTCTTCGGAGGTCAACAATTATCCATCAGGGCTGGCTTCACCAGTAGGGTAATAGCCCTTAACAGTTACAAGTTATAACTCGCTTACAATGATATATACATATATATGATTATATCATATATTAATGTATATATATACATATAACCTTAGTCATAGGAGTTATAATCCCATTTGACCGTTAAGTGCCATAACTGTAGGATTTCCAACATCGAATCGGCAGCGAATGGGCCAGGTGGAATGCCACGGCACTGGCACAGCTCTGGGGGATCCCATCGAGGCCTACAACGGACCTGTCCGTTGAAAAATCCCGGAGCGCTGCATGATCACACGGATCAGGGATTATTCGGGAGAGGGATCTATTTTTGGATTTTTTTCTGTCATTCAAATCGTTCTCAGCTGAGTCCGATTCTGGAGAGTTGTGCTGCACAACTGCCACGCACAGGTTGGTGCTTTGGGGGCCACACTGCAGGAGGGCCGTGAGGAGCCGTTGCTGTTGTTGGCTGGCAAGACCAACGTCAGGGGCCCCATGCCAGCTGGTTGCTTCAAATTTGGATCCTTAGATTTCAACAGATCTTAAAGCTCAAAACACCATTCTATCGTCTATAACCGTGGAAACATGGACATCTCCAACTTATAAAGGATATATTTATATGTACTATATATATATAAGTATATATACGTATATGTATATTCCAATAATTATATATATATATGTAGTATATAGATTATCATATTATAGATATAGGACATTAAGGATATCTATTTTCCTTAAGGGATATTAATCTTAAGGAATCCCAACCTGTTCTCCCAGGTTGGGCATCTTGAGGGCGCCGCTGGAGCGCTGGGATTGCTGAAGCGGGGCGGCCGGCTTTATTTGGGCCCTGTTGGTTGATGATGAGTGCGGTTGGATTCATAGTGGTTAATCTATGGTTAATCTATGGATAATCTATGGATAATAATGGTTAATATTTGGAATAACAATGGGATAATATGTATATATATATATATACATATTAATCTGGGTAAATTATAACGACCTCACTGCGACCGAGCCCTGGGAATCATGGTTAGTAAGGGGTAAGGGGAATCATCCCCTTAAATGGCCCAGCAATTCAGGTGAGTGAAATATGATAATTTACCCAGATTAATAGTAAATAATAGAGATATACTATCAGGTTGGTGGTTTGGAACTTGAATTTTATTTTCCATTTCATATATGGAATAATCCTTCCCATTGACTAGTATTTTTCAGGGCTGAAACCACCAACCAGCTATCATAATGAATGTACTAGCCTTCAATAGCCTTCATAATAATAGTATATTAATAATGATAGTATTATGATTAGACTAACCTTCATATATTGGGGAAATCCCCGATTAACATTGATTATTATTGGCAATCCAATTAGGTATTATCATAATCCAATTATATGCCAATATATTGGGGATGATTCAGAATGATAATCCAATTAGGGAAATCCCTGTTGACGTTGATTCCCCTCTGGTAATTTGTTACAGTGTGCTATTGAAAATTGCCAAAATGGCCCATTGAGTTCGTTGATTTACCTATTCAAAATTGTGATTTCCCATGTCAAACTGTTAGTTTACCAGAGGGTATATTATGGGGCTTTACTATCCTTTATTTGCTGGGGATCTGCTGGGGATTATCACAATCCACAAACACGGACTTGACAAATGATGCGGACAAAATTGGGGCTTTGGTGATGGTTAAAACATGTTAAAACACATATTATTAAAAAAGAACAACTACAAAAATGGGTGGGTTCACCATCATCAAGGTTTGACCAATTTGGTTGCGTTACAAGCATGGTTTTGGGGCATGGTTTTGGGGGTTGGTCCAACTTAAATGGAAATTTTGGCGCGGAAAAGTGCATTTATTGTGCATTTCACCATCAACAATCTGGATTTAAGCCACACATGTGCTTGTATATGGTATGGTTTGATGGTTTCCCATACATAAATTGGGGACTAAAGCATAATTGGATCCAACATCAACCAGTCAGAAATTTATATATATATGGTATTTATGGTTTCAAACTAGTGGTTGGCCGTGTCATTTCTTTTCTTTCCCTTGCTTGGAATTGATGGGTGAACGGTGATTCACCGCCACTCAGATGACTCCAACTTTGGTTGATAACTAGATGTGAAGTTGTATGAACCTTCAATTTGTCCAAGTTGAGATTTACAATCCATTAGTCAATGGAGTGGGCCTGCAAGAAATAGATAGAAATAGTAGAGTTCCAGCCGCGTTTGATGTGTTTGGATGATTTGATTTTCTGCTGAGTTAGAGTGGGTGTTAAGTCACCTCACGGAAGGTGCATCATGGCCTTGACGAATCTGGAGGCCATCATCAAGTTGCCATGGCACGTGTTGGAATTTGACATGTCGGCAAAGTGTCTCATGATTCTCATGGCAATACAAACCGTCAGTATTGAATAGTATTGATATATCCAAGATGAGTTCATGACTTGGTTGTCTACCTACAATCAATCGGTCACCTTTCAAGCAAGCAGGGTTGTGATGGCGCTAGGTACCTCCGAATGTGCATCTGAGCGAGCTGAATCCCCACCTTGACTTGAAGGACAGATTTTGGGCAGCTGAAAGGTCTGAGTGCTGACAGTTGAGATTGGGAGCGGTAGAACAACAACCATGGCAGCCATGGGACACTAAACATCATCATCATTATTTGAGACCTCAAAACCTAACCCACTCAATACGGTGTTTTTCTCTGCACTTTTAGTGAGTTTTGGGGTGTCCATGTTGTCGATGAGCGGCATCCATTTCTTTCCATGTTGAGTTTCCACAAAAAGGTGTCCTACTTATAGGTACTCCGAATTCCAATGGATTATGATGGATTGTGTCCCTTCTAACATGACCATTTGATGCCATTTGTTTGATACCATTTGGGGATATATCATGATATATCTTCTATTTCATGGCGCCATGTGTTTTAAGGTCTGTTGCCCTCACTTGTGGGAATGCATCGATCATCATCGATTTTCAGGATTTCCTGGTGGTGCCCTCATCCAGCCATGTGGTGTCCGAGTCTGCACCAAAAGTTCCTGGGATCTGCACCGGTACCGTGTAGCGTGTGGAAATTGCAATGGGAAAACCACGGAAACCAAAAAGGGTGATCCGATCACGGTGATCCTTCGGAATTGGTGGGCGAATAGGTTAGTGAATGGGAATGTGTTCCCAACATTTGAGAGTGCCAGAGTGCCCACCTGAAAAGTTTAAGTTGGGTATCCAAGCTTAGGTTTTTTTCCGTGATTTCGATGATTTATGTTACAACAACATGTTAGACCTTCATGGCTCCCAAACCTCACATCTGAGTCATGGTGAATTTGATGTCGGGTCCCAGAGATTTAGCCACCCAGAAATGGCCCAGAAACCATGGAAGCCACCATGGTCAGCCGTAGAGGGGATGAAATATATGAAATATACGAAATCATAACTTAAAATCATGACTGGGACCATAGAAATCCATAGAATGGGGCTGTGTTTTTGCAGTCTTTAAGAAAAAGACGTCGGAAGTGTAAAAGACAAGGTCACCCCACTTTTTGTGCAGGGCAAGAGCTAGTTCAGCGTGGTTGTGAACCTATCATGTCTGTGAAATCAGGTTCTATATGTCATTAACGTGAAATCATCTGAACTGACAGGTTGTAAAACTATGCAAGTTATGATAAAACATATGATGTGAATTGGCAGGTTTACTGGGGTTTTGTTCAGTAAGGTTTCATTTTTTTAGTGCCCTAACTTTGTTGATGGCAGAAGGGCACTGCTCACATAGAAATACCTCAAACTATCTCAAAATCACAAAATGACTAACCCCCAAAAAATGGAACGGCTTGACACGGATAACAACAAAATATGCCAAGTTTAAGATTATAGTTCCAATACTTTATATTTATCAATATGTTGATCATTAAGTTTGAATATAGTTCCAATATGTGATATATATATATATATATAATTAGAGTATCAAAGTTTAATATACTGTATAATATATATGTATATGTATATATCATATATATATATATTATTATCATCATCATATTTATAGTTCCTCATGTTTTTTGTTGTGACCATCTGCACCGGCAGCGGCAGATGGGTTTGTCCTCCTTTGGCTTCGGTGGCACCAACGCGCACGCTGTTCTGGCGCGACGAGGGCCGCTCAGGCGAGCCCATGGCGGTCGCTGGTTGATGAAACCTCCATATGGGTTTGTCTGAAAATAGGGTATATTCCCAATGAAATAGCCATTTAAAAACGGGATTGTCTGATCAGCAAAACCATTGGGTAAAAAGGGGTACACTATATCATCCAATATGGATTTGTAACTTGGATGTACCCGAAATGGTAAACGTTTACATAAACGAACTGGAAAGATCCACCATTTTCAATGGGTAAATCCACTATATCAATGGCCATTTTCAATAGCAAACTGTTTGTTTACCAGAGGTTAACTATCATCAAGTCCCATTAAATCCCATTAAAATTCCATAGTTGATGGTGAAATCCCATCAAATCCCATAGTTTACCAGACGGTACTTGGGATTGTTCAATCAGGGCGCCTTTTTGAGGCCACCTGGGGACGAAGTGAACTTCAAGAGCGTGCCATTCCCCTGGGCACAGGTTCGCCGGTTGGGGACCGTGCTTGGCGCCCGGTGCCTTTTCACGGTCCAAATTTTGGGGATTTGTCCACCAGCATTTTCTAGGGTTTTTGCCAATGTGTTTGCCATAACTATGTGGAGATTTAAGTGAACATCATAGATTTCTGGTTGGTTGATGATTAGTTGCGGGCTGATACTAGCCATAACATTCGTTGGAGACGATCATCTTAATCATCGTCCATGAACCTTTACGGGACTGGCTATCACCTGGAGTCTCAAAGTGCAGAATCTTGACAGAGTTGAAACAAGTTCCGAAATGTGTGGGCAAAATGCATCAAAATGCCATTTTTGTGATAGAGCCTTCGGAACCCTTCTGTAATTCAAACGTTGCAATGGCAATTTGATCTATAGATTAGAGTTCCCCCTTGACTCAACTGCCAGGTACCTCGCCTTCTGCGTCTCTATCGCACTGGCAAGGAGACTGTTTTCGAGGCAGCCATGAATGGCATCATCTTGTTTGAACATGGAAGTAGCCTCCGGTAAACTAACATTGCTATGGAAGCTACAATGGTGTTCTTGACAATAAAACATGGTGATGTTTAGATGTTAAATTACGAGAGATTTACCAGAGGGTATATGGAATGTGTCAAAACGAAATTAAAACCATTCTGTGTACCACGCTTGTGGGGATAAAGATCCACAAAGCCGCCATTTCTAGGTCCCATTTGTTGACCCCAAAGAGTTGTTGCCCATTTCATCATATTTCATCCATGTTCATCCCATGGTTTCGCCCTAATCTTTCCAATGCTGTGATGGTCTGGCTCAGGTGCAGCTGGATAAGGACCTGCTGGAGTATCAGCGTCAGCTCTACAAGCAGAAGCAGATCTCACCAGCTCTGTTGGTGGCATTGGTGGGGATTCCGAGCTGCCGATCCAAGAGGAAGTTCACAAGCCGGCCACTCTTGGCAAAAAAAAAATAGATACTGACATACAATACCCTAGTGCTCCAAAAAACCTTCCAAAGTGTACCCCAAACACAACTCCCAAATACAAACACGTCTCAGAATTTGTTTGGATTTGCAGGGGTAGTCCCATTGTTACCTTGATTGCTACCCATTGATGATTTTTCGAAAATCAAGGTATTGGGGAGGTATTTGGGAGCAATGGCCCACTGTCTACTATTGAATAGCCCCCAGAAACCGTAGGGTGCCGCACGAGGGGATTTTCCCGTATGTGTTATCAACTGCGTAGGCGAATGATGCTAATGGATGGATTTATGGTATGATAAATGATGTATATATGAGCAAGAGGCTAAACTCTCCGTGTACGAGGTATGTATTCGAGCGATCTTTCATGTAAAAATATGCATCTTGATATGTAAAACGATATAGTGAACTCCCAAAAACGATAACGTGGGAATCATATCATATGTAAAAGCATTGTGGGAAGTGAAGGGGTGGTGTACATGACATCATGGTGGACACCTGTTCTAGAAGCATCTAGATCATCTAGGCTCTCAGTTGTGGGGTATACGTCATGACCAGCTCACACAACGGAAGATGTGCAAAAGTATGCTGACACTCTTGATCCTGGCCAATTTCTTTATTTCTGATTATTGCAAACAGTTTTGTATCCAAGCACGTATTGCTCATCCAGACTTCTTCCAACAACTGAATTCAAACTTGTTTCTGAGTTTGAGAAAGGATGGTGCAACTGTGATTTGCAGTTGCATTAACAGGTATCATACCATACCATACAGTTGGAGCGCTGCAAAAGAAAGCGCAGGGCAGTCAAACATGCTTCAGACGCTGAAGTGGAGGTGTAAAAAGGCTTTCCGCACGCAGTTTGCCAGGGGATGCAAATGATGCAATCAGGATATACTGTAAAACGATATAGTGAACTCCCAAAAACGATAACTTTGACCCGAAGATCGCATTTTTCAATTGAGGTTTTGCCGATCGCTCATATATATATATATAAATGTCACTTCTTGATCTTACTCATGGATAGACCTACACTTTGGATAGGTGAGAATAAGCCAACCTATCTCTCGGGGGCAAACCTGTTTTAAGCGTGATGGGCATTTGAAATATTGTACACATGTTTGATCATGTTTGCTGTTTGAGTTGCCATGGTTTCCAATTTTTGCAGCCCAGTCTTGCTATGTTTGCTCGTTCATGAAAAAAGTACAAAGGCTGAAGGGTATGTTGAGGGTCTAGATGAATAGCAAGCATTGTTACTGACCAATTAAAGGACTGTCAAGAAAGAAACACACCATGTGGTTCATGCTAACTGATGGATCTCTCATGAATCAATATTCGATTGTTCAACCCAGAATCTCTTAAACAATGAGGTGACCTCATTGAGGTGGTGATAGTCACACCTGAAAATTTGAACGTGATATTGTCCATGCCGACATTTGAGTCTTCTGGTGTTTCTTAGAATCAGAGGGGGCCAAACAGATGGGTTTCCTGCCAGATTCTCAGATCCTACTGGACTGTACTATGGTGGACCAAAGTGGGTGGATTTGGGAGAGTCACAGTCTGCGTTTTTTCACAGTCATCACAGGCCATGGAAGGTTGCCGACGGCATGTAAAGCAAGCTGCTTCAGTGCAATTCTGAGTTTCACGGAGCAGTGGGTACTGAAACTCAGATGGTCAGTTGGTGTTGCAACATGTTGCAATAAAGTGGCTCAAACTTGGATTGGTACTTTAATGTTTAATTATATAATTAATATGCATGAATATATGTTTAAACATATCATCTTGCTACAAACGGAGATCTTTACTAATCAGCCAAGCAAACAAACGCCAGGGTGTCCAAGATTGGGTCTGCTAGTCAATGTATGTATTCGATGTTTTGGTCTTGTAATAAGTTCTAGCCCTTTCCGTCCCTCTTTACGTTCACATTCTATCACCACACGATTATTTTTGTGGGGGACAGAAGTCCTATTTGAAGTTGTGATTGGCCCCTGTGGATCCATGTTGTAGGTGACCATATGGCGCCCTTTCAACAGTGAGTTAATCTAACTTGGGAGCACCGTTGCAGCAGCTGCAAGAGAAGATCTTACCTGAACCCCAAATGACCCCCAAAGCACCAAGGCAAGTCCAACTGTCACAACTGTCAAGCGTATTGCTCTACTCATACCATTTTGCAAGCCATTGCAAGCCATCAATCACTACCAATCCAAAGCCCTTTTGGGATTCTGGGGAGTGAATTTGCCAAATCGGCTGGCTGGCTTTCACTCGCTCTCATAGGGTCGAGCAGTTCACTGCACCTCTGAGGCCTGTAACGCCTTAGAGACCATGTTGAATACTTGAAAGGGATAGGTTGAGTCTTCCTAGATCCCGTTACATATTAAGACTAAATTGGGTGATCGGAAAAAAAAACATCACTCATTTTTGGGAAATCTCTTTACCATAACGTCATAAAACATCCATGGAATCCATAGCTTCAATCTTCGCTCCGGGAAAGTCTGAGGTGCAACTGAAAGCATTGAAGATGACCGTCAGCGCCTGAGCGGTTTCTGCAAAATGCCGATGATTTTTAGGGCCGTGGGGCCATGAAGAAATTTATTTTTGATCGGTAAACAACATGTTTTTCTGTTGCCAAACATCAATTATAGTGAATGAATTATTTGTTTAGTATGTTTGTATACATGAGTTCCATATGGAGTGGATAGAAAAATACGAAGTTGAGTTGTTGTAGTGTGCCAGCAATGTTGACTGCTGCTTTGAGAATTGAGGAGACGAGGGGTGGTCAACGGGGTCTGGAAAATATGTTATTATTCTATCTCTTTAAAACACCTTCAAAACACAGGAAACATGATGCCTTTGGAGTTGTATTTCTTCAAAATATCTCAAAATCATATATTTTAGGTGTTGAACAATTTTATTTGCTAGTTTACCCAGATTTCGAAATCAATGATTTTTTAAATATTCTATCTGTTGGTTAGTTAATATATTTATATAATTATATATATATATATGTTTTCTGGCCATTCTTGGTGGCTTGAGGTTTGTTCATGCTTCCCACAAGCTTGCGATTGGGTGAAATTGCACGCAGCAATGTCTTGATATTTGCGCAAACAACTTGACGTACATGCGCAATATTATAATGCTATATATATATATATATATGATTATATAATATTATATATGTGTATATATCGATATGATTCATACATGAATATTTTGTAAATGTTACGGTAATTTTTACCTACACAACATCGATATCAGACACTAAGTCATGCTGGTCGAAGTAGAAACGCATCGCAAGCGTCGCAGGCACCTTGCATTCTGCCGTCTGACTACGATGGTTCCGCTCTGAGAACTTTTCGATGCACGTGTCCCAGCTGCGCTGAAAAACATCTCCTGAGGTCACACCTGGCTTCGCCTGTCCATCAACGAGCCCGGGACGTAGAACACCTGAGACGGTCTTGAGATAATTTGAGACATAGTCCCAAAAAGATAGAAAAGTAATTTATCGCTAGTTAGTAATGGAAGGATTTTACTTTTTCATACCTTTTCTATCAATATCTATTTGGGGATGACTAAGGCTTTGGGACAAGAGGAAGCCTATGGACACGACATGTTTTGGGATGGAAAATAAGAACCGCTGCCGCCGTGACCCACAATTTACTTATAGCTTATAAACCTGACTGTTTTGCTCAACAGTTTGATAGTGTTACTAATTTTCATTGGCACAATTACATAGAGTCGAGGCTCTAGGTCTAGCTGGTGCTCTAGCTTAAACGTTCAGATACATCTGAGTCTCTGAATAATGAAGCTAACCTGCCAAGCTGTGGATTTTGGAGGTCTCAGATTTTGAGGCAGATTCACCGTGTTTATTTGTTCCAACCTCATGGCAGATTTGCCAACCTTCGCCAGTTTCCGAGGCAGCAGTTTGAGGTCGGAAGCAGGCACCGATTTTCTCAAAAGGCAGGGCTGATGGAGAACGGTGAGTTGAAAGGTGGATTTCTACAAGCAGTTGATTGGTTCAAGTCGAACTTTCATGGTTTAATCATGGTTTAACCATGTGGGTGTGATTGGGTGATCCTTACCTTGGCAGGCCTGGCAGATTCACTGTGTGGGGCGTTTCAGCACGCAGGCGATAGATACGGGGGCTTCAATGGGAACGCCGTTGAAGCGAATTCGAGTGGGTCATAAGCATGACTCCCTTACTGTATCTTACCATTCTAGCTGATCTGAGGAATTTTATTTTGCCAGCTGCAACTTTGGGAGTGCATGTTTTAGCAGCATTAATAGCTTTCCTGAGACATTTCAGACACCATGCGAGCTTGAAGTGGACACGATCAGGTTGCAACGCGGCCGTGGGGGACTTACTGGATACTTGGGGTGACAAACACGACAGATCATTGATTCATTGTAGGTTCAGGGTCCTTGTATGTCACCCTTTATTTTAAGCAAACATCACTTGAATGAATGGTGGACTGATAGTTGCTTGAACCCAGCCAAAAGCTGATGCTTACAGGCAAAATCTATGGGGAGAAAGGTTTGGAAGCAGGTTTTGAAATTCTGATAGATCGATACATATACATGATTATACAATATTATACATACATACATATACATAGTATATATATGTATGTATATATATATATATTATATTATATATTATATTATATTATATATTATATTATATTATATTATATTATTATATTATATTATATTATATTATATATATTATATTATATTATATTATATTATATATATTATATTATATATATTATATTATATTATATTATATATTATATATATACACTATATAATATGATAGAATATCTCTAGTGGGATGGGTTTATGCGTGTATTATATGCATACATATATGATAGAAAGGATATAAAGACAGTGAACTCCCCGGGCCGTCCCTGAGGTCTACTGCAAGCCTGGGATCCTTGAGCATCCTGGGAGGAGTGAGAAGGTGACGGTCAGATGTGGGTTTTAAGATGTCCAGAATGGGAAGACATGGGGATAAGACCATCACAGATAGGGCGTAGGCATCAAAAAAAAATAAAGGACGAAAGGAAGGAAGAAAGGAAGAAAGGAAGAAAGGAAGGAAGGAAGGAAGCAAGGAAAGAAAGGAAAGAAAGGAAGAAAAGAAGAAAGACAGGAAGGAAAGAAGGAAGGAAGGAAGACAGAAAGGAAGGAAGGAAGAAAGGAAGAAAGGAAGGAAGAAAGGAAGGAAGAAAGGAAGAAAGAAAGGAAGAAAGGAAGGAAAGAAGGAAGGAAGGAAGACAGAAAGGAAGGAAGGAAGAAAGGAAGAAAGGAAGGAAGAAAGGAAGGAAGAAAGGAAGAAAGAAAGGAAGAAAGGAAGGAAGGAAGCAAGGAAAGCAAGGAAAGAAAGGAAGAAAAGAAGAAAGACAGGAAGGAAAGAAGACAGGAAGGAAGACGGAAAGGAAGGAAGGAAGAAAAAGGAAGAAAGGAAGGAAACAAGAAAGGAAGGAAACAAGAAAGGAAGAAAGAAAAAGGAACCAAAGAAGAAAGGAAGGAAGAAAGAAAAGAAGGAAGAAAGGACGGAGACGAGAAAGGAAGGAAACAAGAAAGGAAAGAAATAATGATGTAATATTACATGCATAAGAGATCATTCAAATTACATGCAGGCATCACCGTAGCAGTTGCGTACTGTTATTTATGTATATGTATATATACATATATATATATATGCATTTATATACACACTTATATATTTATATTTAAATATATTTATATTATTTATATTTTCTGTTTATATTTTTATATACATAGTATTTCTATTTATGTTCAAATTCAAATATATATATATATACTTACATATAGAAATATGTAAATATATACATATACTTATATTTATGCATGTATATATACACTATATATATATATATTTATGTATTTATATTTATATATTTATATTTACATATTAATATATATATATATTTATGTACTTATATATATATATACACATTCATATGTATATACATATAACTGTATATATATATAAATGAGTATGTATCTACAAGTATATATACTGTATTCCACATGTTTCCAGGGTGCATGTCGTGTAGTCTATACACCTTGAGTATCACATTCAAGCCAGCACCTTGCATGTGAAAATAGGTGTTTCCAATCTGCTTTGGGGGGGAGGCGCTGCGCACTCCCCCCCAATCCCCCCCTCCCGCTTTTTTTTAACTATTTAAATAAAAAAGAAAGACACTTTTCAATACACTATATAGTTTGATTCGACTATATTCATATTTATGTTAAAAATTATGTGTATATATATACATATATCTAGACATATATATATATATAGACATATATATATATGTATATATATATATATATGTATGTATATATTTGCATTTATATATGCACTTATATATATATATATGTACTTTTAAAAATGTATATATATATATAAATTAATATGTATATACATACCCATGTAAATATTTATATAATTGTGTATCTCTCAGTATATATATTTACATAAATATATATATATACATATAAATATATATATATATAAATGTAAATATATATATATTATAATTACACATACATATTTACTTATAGATATACAGACGTATATATATATATGACATATTTGTGGTTGTTTTTTATACACAGCTTTGATCCCAAAATAAACTACAAATAATCACGTAATTATACCTACATGTTGTATCCCTAAACCCTAAACCAAACCCTGCATATACATACATACATGCATACATACATACCTACCTACATACACCTTGAGTATCACATTCAACCCAGCACCTTGCATGTGAAAATAGGTGTTTCCAATCTGCTTTGGGGGGGAGGCGCTGCGCCCTCCCCCCCAATCCCCCCTCTCCCGTTTTTTTTTAAATTATTTAAATTCAAAACTTGCACACTTTTCAATTACTAGTTTGATTCTTTTATATTAATATTTATGTTTATATATATATATATCTAGACATATATATACATAGACACACATATATATATATATCTAATGTATGTATGTATGTATGCATGCTGTATGTATGTATGTTGTATGTATGTATGTATGTATGTATGTATGTATGTATATCTTTGCATTTATATATACACTATATATATATATTTATGTACTTATATAAATGTATATATATATATATAAATACATATGAATATGTATATACATATCAATGTGTATATATTTATATAATTATGTCTCTATCAGTATATAAATATATATATATGTTTATTTAGAAATACACATACATATTTACTTATAGATAGATAGACGTATATATATATATGACATATTTGTGGTTGTTTTTATACACAGCTTTGATCCCAAAATATACTACAAATAATCACGTAATTATACCTACATGTTGTATCCCTAAACCCTAAACCAAACCCTGCATATACATACATGCATACATACATACCTACCTACATACATACATAGATAGATAGATAGATATATATATACATATGTATATTGATTGATTGATTGATTGATTGATTGATTGAAGAAAACCATAGAAAACTTCCATCTCCAGACATGCTGTCGCGTCGCATGTATGAGCATCGCGTTATGGAGCAGCTTGCTTGCTGGGACTCGACCCTTTATTCGGTATCTGTTGGGATCTCAAGAGAGTTCTCCAGACGTGTGATCGCCTCGCATGTATGAGCATTGCGTTATGGAGCACCTTGCTGGGACTCTCCCTCTGAGTCGGTATCCCAAGAGTAGTTGTGATTTAATATGCGCTGGTATCTGTTGGGATCTCAAGAGAGTTCTCCAGACGTGTGATCGCCTCGCATGTATGAGCATTGCGTTATGGAGCACCTTAATGGGACTCTTCGTCTGAGTCGGTATCCCAAGAGTAGTTGTGATTTAATATGCATTGGTATCTGTTGTCTGCTGACAGTCGACCTTTTCTTCGACATCTGACCCTCCCTCCCCTGTCTCCAGACACGTACGAGTCACTTGTATTAGCATACCTCGGAATTTTCTGGTTTGATACGGACCACCTGGATATTGCGGACAGATCGGCAATCGACATCTGACCCTCCCTCCCCTGTCTCCAGACACGTACGAGTCTCACTTGTATTAGCATACCTCGGAATTTAATTTTTTTTTGATGCAAATTTTATTTTATTTTTGATGCGTGTACCACGTTGAAATCTTGGACAGTTCCATAGAAGTCCAGGGGAATATTTTTTTTGATGCAAATCAATTTTTATTTTGATACTTATGGGGATTTGTTTTTTTTGATGCGTTTTTATTTTTTTTTGATCCTTCACCCCACAGATAGGACATGTTAGTTGGTTTCACATATCATATATCATTTTTTATCATTCATCATAATTTATCATAGTATATAATGATATTATATATATATATATATATATCATATCCCCTTATGTCTCCCTCATTTAGGGGATTGATGTTCCAAAATGACCCGAAATTGCCCAGTTTTCAGTGGGGTGACACCAGCTAGCATGAAAGGATGGACGTGTAGTGAACATGTTGGGTCCAGCTTGTTCGATGGGATTTCAACACTGATCCTATGATTCTATGATTATAAGGAGCATCCTCATTTTGAGAACCCCCTGACCGCCACTTGCAGATGAGTATGACGGTTTTTTTCTGAATTATGTAGCGCTGCTGATCCACAACCAATTTTGCTCTCAACATCGCAGGTGAAAAAAAGTGCAAACTCCAGCACGCTATATAAAGTGGCCTAGTGGATCCTAGTGGCCCACAGATGCCCACAGTTTGATCGTTTGACAGTCGGGTTCAGCTGATCCTGAGCAGTTTTTTTCTGTGGGAGAATGAAGGTTTAGACCATAGCCACACCAGGATGATTGAACCATGTACCATCACAGTTGGTAGCCCAGCAGTCGCAGGCAATCCCTGCTTCGATCTGGCACCCTGAAATTACCACCCTTTTTCCACCGCATTAAGGGTTGATCAACCCCAAAATCCCATAGAAAATCATGGTTTTCCCGTTGATACCCCATTTTCAGACCCACCCACACATTCTATTCATATGACACATATCCCATATCCCATTACATCCCCGAACATCACCGTAAAACTAAACATCAAACATCTCACGAAAAATTCCACCAGAATTCCACCTTAAATTCCATCCATTGAACTATGAAATCCCTATGAAATCACTATGAACTCCCCATGATCAGACCATATTTCTTCGACCAGGCCACTCCCCGCATCAGCGCCGCGGGCTGAGAGCTTCGAGGCTCGCAGTAGCCCAAGGTATCCTTCATTTTTTATAGGACTTTTCCATTCTAAACCATCCAGCTAGTGGGGTATCCCGGTATCCCCATGACTTAGGAAACACCAAAATATTGAGTGAAGATGAGTTGAGTATATACCTAGACCCTCCGTTTGTAGCCATAGAAATTGTGTTTCAGCCCATGTTTTTGGATTTTTTTACTATTTTGGGTATATGGAGGGTCAAGGTCAATGTAACATGATCCCCAAATAGTTGGTGAATGGGATGGTTTATGGCATTGGGTTTTTCACATCGCATATGAGTTTGAATGGATAATATGTATCCATAGGTCAGGAAGAACTGTTTATGCTGTTTGAAAAGGGGGATTAGACCTTGGCTCTCAATCAAAACCACGAAGACCCGTGTTTTGCCACAACCATTGATGCTTTCACTCGTTTTATGGGTACAAGTAGAGGGTCAAGTGTAATGAAAACGCCCTAAACTCAGAGTCAACAACAAATTCAACTCCAAGGAAGTCAAACAGAAGTGGGAAATTTATTGGAATTCCACAATTTTCAATTTGAAAACGAAAAGTCGACAACTGGCAGTTTACGCTGGCCATTTGGGGGTTCTCAAGTGATCTCTTCAAGGCTTAGGTGACCTCCGGGCAGGTCCTATGTCGTTCTTGTGCTGCCCAAGATGGAGCTTTGGAGGTATGGTTCACCCGATAGAAAGAGTTGAAGACTTGGAAATGATGTGGCGTCATCTATGATTATTTACGACTTCCTGGAACATCTGGAACAACAAACTCGGGCTTCCAAGAAGTGGTAAACTACCGCGTTGTCAGATAGCAGTTTACCTCATTAGTCCCTTGCTTGAATATCCTGCCTACGCCACTACCAGAGGTATTGTTTTTGCAGTAGTCGACTTGATTATGTAAACGGGTCATATTTTGGACCGTGGGTTGAATGTTCTCACCTCATCTCACCTTTAGAAGTACAAACAAAATCCACACTATTTTGGCACCCTAAGATCTCCACAGTTGATGTTGCTGTGTCATGTTGTTGGTTATATATCACAAATTGATTACACATTGTTAAACTAATTGATAATTACACGTAAATTGAAACCAGCCATGATAATGCGTTGCCGTTGGTTCTATATCGATGTCTTAGTTATAAGTATCACCAAATGGTTGACTATTCCTTCATTTTTTAAACTCCACGCAGGAGTTGAAAATGAAAGCAGAGGAGGAGGGCCTGCTTTTGAGTCGCATCCTTGGCACATCAGCGGCCCATGGGTTTTTGGGGTCAGAGATTTTTGGGGTTGCACCCAGGGTTTCCTGTACCCTCTGGTAATTTAACATAACTATGGAAAATCACCATGTTTCATGGGAAAATTCAATATAAATGGTGATTTTCAATAGCTATGTTAGTTTACCAGAGGGTAGATGTTCACAATTAATCCATTATACATTGAAACCTCAGCATCTAGGGTTTCCCCAGTATAATCCCCACCAGAATCCAAGTATGGATCATATTAGATCCTCACAGACTCCCAAAAAAAGACCCTAGATTCCAGTGGGATTTTCTTGGTATTCCCCAGATTCCCTAATAGACCATAATATACCCCAGTAGACCCTAATAGGCATAAAAACCCTATTGAATCCCCATAGATTCCATTGATTGTCCAGATTTTCAACATCCAGGCGACCGCACCTTTGGTATGCTCAGTGACGTGCACGTTGGCAAGGGCGAGTTCTGTGCTCGCCTGGGTCGCAGGGCATGTGGGTGTCAGCTGGGATCCACAATTTAAACACCATCCGCAATTATCAATCATTTGGGACTACTATCTATATATATATAATATATATATATATATAGAATATATATATAATATAATATATATATATAATATATATATATAATATATATATATTATTATATATATATTATTATATATTATATTATATCTATGTCTATATCGTCTATAATATCGTCAATATTTCATTTTGTATCTATCTATATCTATATCCATATCGATATATATATATATACACCTATACATATGTGTATATATATATACACATAGTATATATATATATATATTTATACACATGTATATTTAGAGTGGGAATGATTTCGATATATAACCCACTCCACAATTTTCCTTAGCTTACCGGGGATTGAGGATAGGGACTATGAATGAATCATCCCGTGCTGTTGAGATTTGTGGATAGCTCATTATGGGTCAATACCCCCCATCCAGCTGAAAAATGGGGAGTTTTTCCACCCCCATCGTGACCCACCAATGATCAATCCAGATTCATGAGGTTTTTTTTCTTAACAACTTAAGCACCAGAAAATCGGGGCGAATCTCAAGAATCCCTGGGGCATCACGATGGTGGTTGAATCCCCATCATGGCCTTCACAGGGAGAGTATCTCCCTACATCAAAGTCCCAGACTAAGGTGTGCAATCCAGGTAACCTCGACAAGTTGAAGAGGATTATCTCCGTATCCCCTTGGGCGGATGATGATTGGAATTGTTATGAATTGTTTAAGACGGTTTACTGTAAATAAGTAATTAATAATTATCTAAATGGATATACGACATGATGTGCGATAATTGGATGCTTCAACACATTAAGTTGATATATGTTCTGTAAATACCCACAAGTGTGGGCAAATGTTCCAACATCTTTTTTTTGTGAGAAATACCATTCGGCACATTGCTTGGTCGACCCGAGTCGACTGTGCTGGAAACTCAGACCCGAGGCGTGAAGATTCCTGCTGACTTTTCAGCGTATACTGCGAGGAATCTTAGCCCAACAAAACTCCATGGCATTTGGATCCCGGGAAATCCCTGGAAATTCCATGGGAAAAGGTTGTGATTGAAACTCTGGTGAAAACAATGAATATAGTGACGAACAATTACTTAGAATCTTAGAACGTATATATTTTGGAAAAAAACACCTTGTTGTTCATTGGAGCTGGAAGGACGTTCTTAGTGTCACATTTAGAACATGAGAAGTTATATCACTTAGAACATGGTGGGAACCAATTCATCACTTAGAACATCTTAGAACGTACCCAAAATTCAACACTTAGAACGTACCCAATATAATTTAATGTATGTATACATATATATCATATGTTATTTATTCATACACATGCGACGGACAACTACTTGGAATGTTCTAAGTGTTGAATTGGCCCCTATGTTCTAAGCGTCGGGATGTTCTAAGTGTTGAAAATATGCCTATGTTCTAAGTGTTGATTTATGCCTACGTTCTAAGTATTAAAAAACAAAAACAATTTGGAACAACAAATACGTTCTAAGTAATTGTCCGTCGTTATAGAGATGAACAATTCAAATCCGGGTGTTTTTTTTTCACGTAGACCGACAGACACGTTTTGATTCAGCTTTGTTGTGACCGAAGAAATGCGTACTGGTGCCAAGCAGCAGAAGGTAGAATTGTTAAAAAAAAACAGGTTTCAGTCTTGAAAACTGCTCATAGAAAAATAGAAAAGCTATATGACCTACCTCCATACACAATGGGTGTGTTACCAAATTTTGTCAATCGTCTACAAGAAAAGCATTTCGACTACAGTACTACAGGTTCGGAGTCACGAGGAGCTACAAGGTGGTTTATAACCCAGTTGTGTTGGTTTATGTTGGTTTATGTTGGTTTATAACCCCGTTGAAAACCAGCTCGTTATATCGCAATCATCCCACAGTTATAACTAACGGAGATATCCAGGTTCACCCGCAGCTTCTGGATGTCTTGCATTTGGCGGTGCCAAACTTGGACGACGGTGGGAATGTCACCATGAATTTGTTGGCCATGAAGAAATGCATTTGGGTATGTCTGAAAATGGGGTATACCCCCAATTATAGCCATTTAGTAGGGATAATGATTATTAACCATTGGGTGTAGGGGTACACTATTTTCAGACAAACCCATTTGTACATTATTAGTCATTATTGAGCACTTGGGGAAAAAAAAAAATGTGTTTATATAATGAGATTTTAGGGAAAACATGGTCTACAGCAACAATGTTCTGTTTGGTTGTCATTCCTGGTTGTCATTCTTATGACAACCAAACATAGCCGACCAGTCACCCCCATATCATGGTTCATCAAGGCCTGCCTTGCTTTACCAGAAAATGGCTATCTTTGGATGTAAAAATCTCCTATTCATATATGTAATGATGTAAAATTTAAGATAAATTTCAACCGCCCATACCCGTATTTCAAATTGTTCAAGGCAATGTAGAGGTGTTATATACATTTGTTTGAGAGCACAAAATGAATTGTAGACCTCACAACCACCTCACTCAAACAGACCTCACAACGACCTCACGCAAACAGATTGTTTACAGAGGAATTTGTGAATCATCCCAAAAATGAATCTTAAATGATATTGCCAGGCATTATTCTATCATATTCTATCCAATATTAAAAGTATTTGGAATTTGGATCCAATTTCATGATAACCAGTGCTCTGAACCATGAAACTCCGGTCCAAAGTTACGGATTCCCTTGGAGGATGGCCATCGAAAATCCCATGGAAAAAATGTCATAACTAGATCTTTATAGATGGTTTTCCATGGGTTTTCCCACTCTATAACATTATATAACACGATTTTCCCCAGCCCCAAAATCTCCATTTCATTTGAGTGCCCAGCCATGATGACCAAGGCGTTGTGCTTGGCGCACAAGGGTGACATGGCAAAGAGCTTGGCGCAGGCGACATGGCCGGGCCCAGTTGATGATGTTTTGACGCGGGGGTAAACTAACATAGATGGGGCTTTCCAAACACGGGGATACACGGGGTATCCCCAAAATGGTTGGTTTATCAGGAAAATCCTACTAAAATGGATGATTTGGATGATTTGGGGGTACCACTATTGTAGGAAACCTCCAGATGTGGAAAATGGCCCATTGATGGATGAATTACCTACTAAAATGCTGATTTTCCACATCTATGTTAGTTTGTCCCAGGGTCAGTGATGTATATTATATAATATTTATATATTATACATATATATCACATTCAAATATCATCAAGCACTAAACTTCAACTCTACACATTCGGTTGCGACAGGCTCGATACTCACACATGGCGTGTCTTCAAAGTAAGGGCCGCAACTCAATATGATGGCAAGCTAAGTATCAACGGCGGCTCTGCACTTCCCAGCAGGACCTGACATCTATGACCTCTTTGTCAGTGCCCTCGCAGGACTTGGCTGATTTTTTTGGACCAATGGAAATGGGAAATCATGGGGATTGGTTGATGAACTATGATCTTTTCGGGCTCCAATGTGGATATGCTTGGGATAGCGAAGGAACGTGGATGTCCTGATTCCATTTCTTTGTGAAACATAAGAAGGGTCGCCAAATCCATGTTTCAGAACCAATTTGTAAGGTATTGGTAAATGGTATGCCAAACCGGTGCGTGTTTTTTTCGCTAAAAAGAAGGATGTGATTCCCCATATGTTGGACATGCCTGTCAATCTTTCTGTTGCAGGAAATCCCCAAAGGGACCGAATACCTGGTGCTTCACAGCCGCGAACGGCGATATGGCATCAATCCAGAAAGGCTGCTGAACATCTCATGTCCGCTGGTGCTAGAAGGACAGCATGAGTCGGATAGCCAATCAACCATCTTTTGGGAACACACATGATATATAATTATAATTATATATATATAACAGAGAGTGGGACATACTGAAGTAACATGCAATAACTATCTGTTCAACAATACATAAATCTTTGGGTGTGTCTGAAAATTGAGTATACTCCCCGGGTATTTTCAGACAAAGCCGCGAGCTGCTGGTGCTACTTTCAACTCTTATGGCCTGGCAGTGTGTCCCCAAGTTATTCTGGTAGGTATCCCCATATGTGTTGGTACAAGTGTCAGCCAATGAAAATGAATTTCATGAATGAAGTAAGTGTGAGTAACCATATTTATAACTTAGTTATAACATGTTAAATGTTATAATCATATATTATAATCATGTTTTTTTACCTTTTACCCCACAAATCGGGGGGGGGGCGAAAACGATCACTGACCGTGGCATGATCCTGCCAGCATCAGCAGTTCTTCAACGTTGAGTGTGGATGGAGGACCATTGGTGCTTGAAGTGCAGGAGCCAATGTGCGCCTGTGGTGTTTAGGTGTTTTCCTGTTGTTTTTAAATGACATGGCTGAAATACAGCGGTCCCTAAACAACAAGCACAGCAGATTAAGAGAAAGCGTAAAGAGATTTGCGAGGATGGACAACAAACCTGCTTGATTTAGGTTGGAGTTCGCTGCTTTGGATTAAGGGTATAATGCTGCAGGGTTGGGATATATAATAATTCACCATTACACTCAGTGTTTGGATAAGCAGCCAATCCTGGTAGAGGTGTGACCGGAATCCTTGGATACCCTCCAGTAGTCAAACATGGCTAGCTGGGAAATCCTCTAGCCAGCATCAGCTGAGACATGTTGAGCAGTTTTCGGTGCGCTTTGATGTCGCAGGACCATAGACGATTTTGGTGTGCACGTAAGTGCCTGAAGTGTTACAGTGATTGTGTGTTTGCACACTACAACGATTTGATCAGCAGGCATGTGTTTGCATGCAAGGTCACAGGATTACATCATTTGTTCATGTCGACATTTGCGGTCAGTCTCTTCGGATGACCAGTAATAAACATTGCGATGTGCTCGATGCTTTTCATGCAAGGTCATAGGATGATTTGTCAGCAAACCATGCATGCTAGGTGGTGCAAAATCGAATCTTCTGAGTTACACACAATTCAATAAAGTTGTGTCTTTCCTTTTTTTCCTTTATTTCTGTTCTTTCTTTTTTTCTTTCTTCCTTCCTTTCTTCCTTTCTTCCTTCCCTACCTTCTTTGTTCCGCTCTCCTTCTTTCATTAATTTCATCTTCATCCTTATTTTCTGCATTCCCTCATTCGCTCATTCGCTCATTCGCTCTTTCATTCATTCATGCATTCATTCATTCACTCATTCATTCATTCATTCATCTGTCCATTCAGTCAGTCAGTCAGTCAGTCAGTCAGTCAGTCAGTTGCATTCAGCCATTCAGTCGTTGGTTTGTTCGTTCTTTCGTTCGTTCGTTTTTTTTTCCGCTCATGCATTCATGATTGTTTTTCTTTCTCGCTTTCTTTCTTTCTTTCGTTGAGCACCTCGTTAGACAACTTCACAATTCACAAAGATTTCCCATAGGTTTTTTTGCCCCCTATGGTCATTTCCTCTTTTCGAATTTTCCGCGCCGGCGCGGGCCAGGCTACCTGGTAATTTAGCAACATTTTTGTACTGGTTGGTGGTTTGGAATATGAATTGTATTTTTCCACTTATTGAGAATTTCATCATCCCAACTGACTATATAATATATATTTTTCAGAGGGATTCAAACCACTAACCAGTGTATGTTTATGAAATAAAAATATATAAACATGTCATAGTATTCCAAACATGGCGCCCTTGTCCCACTGATCACCATGATCACCCACTTGTGACGTGGTTTGGCCCGTGGGAGGAGATGCTTTTGCGTCCGGTGAAGGAGCGACAGGTCTTGCGCTGTGGAAAAGCCATGGTCAAAATCCCAGGAAAGATCGTGGTGATTTACGGAGGAACACATGGTGATTCAAATGTGGACTTACCCTGGGGTAAACAATGGGTAAACATACAAAAAACAGTGGAAGAACAAAACATGGTCTAACCGGTGAGGGGAAATGATCTACATTCAACAGGAAGGTACCTTGCTGTACTCAAACATGGCAATCAGCATTCGGGAAGACAATCGATTTGTATGGGGGATGTTCCAGCAATCCATGTTTGATTACTAGATGGTCCTGATGGTGTCTTGGCGCCAAAATAATTCGACAGAGAGATCACCACTGTCTGTGGTTTCCTTGGGTGCTGGATGCTGACTACTTGGAGATTTGTACCCCAAGATTGTGATGATTGTGCTGAAGTACCTTCCAGTTTACTGGGTTCCTCTAGGGTTTGTTTGAAAATGGGGGACCCCCCAATCAAGATAATGGAGATAATAAAGATATATCAAGATACTGTATATCCAGTGGTTAAAGAATCATCAGTTGTTCCCATTCAAACGGCCATTTCGCCCCTTTGGAATGTCCAACTTCGCGGATCAACGCGACTTTTGGAGAGCGCCAGGTTTTGTCAGCTGCAGCGACAAAGTCCACGGAGTTACTTGTCAGAAACTGTTGTTTGTTGGATGTTCACTTGCATGGACACATGTACCTTTAGACTTACAGCAATGTAATGCAATTTGCACATATGTGTACATAAAACATGGCCGACACAATTCAGACATGCCCAAAGTGTCTATATTTCACCCTTGTCACGGGTAATTACTTTCCGGATAAAAGTACCTGACCTGGGTTTTAACTTTGGGTTTAAACTTCAATACATGTTTTTTCAACAATCCACATCCGACATTTGAATCGCAGTCATTGTTGCACTGATTTCTGGGTCATGACTCTTAGTGACCAGTTTAACCCATCGTTCTGAGCCAGCAGAAATGTAGGTCAGAAGTCCCCAGTTTATACGAGATGCATTGGTCACCATCATCATCGGGAAGGTGGGTTTTCGGATGGCCAAGATGGCCATGGCGATTTTCCTGCTGAGTGTTGAAAAGCCACTGTTGGTTGATGAGTGCGGGGATTATACTAGCCGTTACTAGAAAATATATTGGAGATTGTCATGATCCATGATGGGAATCCGGGAATCCTGTTCTTGAGACTTTTGAACACTGCCGCTGCTGAGCAGATATATTTTTTTGTTTAAGACTGTTTGTGGACATTCCATTGCATTCCCAAGCTGCCATGAGCTGAGAGTTTCTGGTAGGACTTTCCAGGAAGAAGGCTGCTAGCTCAGTTGAAATGACACCAGTACTCTGCCAACTGGATCGTTCATGTTTCTGTTGGCTTGGTGGTTCTTAATGTCGTTTGCCTCCTTTGGCATAATGCCTGCGCCTGTTATAAAGGATCCCATTCCCAACAGTAGTAGGCTCTCCTACATCCCCAAGGTGGCCGCTGGCTCCTGCTATGTCCAGGGGATCTGGAACTTGCACAAGGCAATTTTCGGAATTCACGCATGGCTTTGATAGGGACTGTAGGGGAGTTGGGTCCGACGATTTCTGGTATCAACAAACCATTTTATAGATGTTAATGGGATATAATGACAATATGTAATGTAATATATACCTGCACCCTCATGTGGATGCCAAATTATTGCCTCTACTGGAAAAATTGGTTTTGGATATTGGCGCATGTTTCCAGGGGAGCAGCGGCAATTTCTGTGTTTGCTCAAGTGGTGGGCTTATGATGGGGTTCCTGATCTGATTCATGCAAATCAAAAGCACTGAGATCATCCAAATTGGTAGGAAATGTAGCATCTCACAATCAAAATCTGCCACAGCCTTGTAACCCAAGTTCCATCTTATAGAACTCCAATTCCCAGTTTTTTTTTCCAGCTCGCATCTCGATGTCCGGTGTGAGCTACGAAGTGGTCAGCCTGGCGGTACGCTTGGCATGTTTGCTGCTTCTGGAAACCATGGGGGTGGATGTTGAACATGGCTCACACCATACATGTTTTTTTGGCTTACAGCTGTGTGGTGAAAACATTCGAGGTTTGAAGGGAAAGTATATAGGGTATCCCAAGTTGCTATGTCGGCCATGGATGTGAAAAAGGAGAGTGGCAATCCAATGGTCAAAAAGGAGACTAGTGGTGCAGAAGGAACCCAGGGTTACAGAGCTGCACCAAAACGGGCCAAAATCGTAGACTTTAGTCTGGCAGGAAAGTGGGAGGACAGCAGGTTGGTCAGAGAGCTCCTACGTAACCAGGGGCGCCTTGTGCGTTGGGTGAGTGAGAAGTTGATCAATGTCATTAACTTGGAAACCTTGGGGGTGAACTCTACGATGATGACTTTGGTTGCTGAGCACCACTGTGCCCAGACAAAGGTTGTCAAAGCCCCTGCCATTGACTTCCTGAAAGCTCAGGTCAAGGGGTGGTCATCCATTAAAACAAAGCACGCATACTATGGACACATATAGAGTGTGACATATACACTATACAGGCTTTACACAGGTACTTTGAAGGTATGGGATATGACATGAAATATAATATATGTTGTAAATATCCTTTATAGTACACTATATAATATAAAATGAAAATATATAATATAATATAATATAAAATTATATTATATTATATTATATTATATTATATTATAATAAAATATAATATCAAAATGGTATAATATAACAATATAATACAATATAATACAATATAATATAATATGATATAATATGATATAATATAATATAATTTAATAAAATATAATATAATATTATAATATAATATAATATAATAAAATATAATGTAATATAATACAATATAATAAAATAGAATATATAATATAGTATAGTATAATAAAATATAAGATAAGATAAGATAAGATAATATAAGATAATATAATATAATATAATAAATATTTTTCATATTATATATCTACAATGAATAATATATTTTTCACCCTGCGAGGTCTGGAAGTTGCGCGTTCTCCTGTCGCAGCCCCACGATCCTGTTTCCATTCACCATGACGCCTGGGCCATCAAGAAGATGTTTTCCCACTCCCTTCGGAGAACGGGTTCTGACAGCCGGAACTCTTTGGAAGACCGCAGTCCGAACCGGCGAGTTTCTCCATTGGAATCAAGAACCATGTTTTTTTCCATGTCAGTAGCATCAGTGAGCATGAAACCTCAACTAGTTTCAGGGCTTTCTGCTTTCCTGCCTTTTCTGAATCTCATGTCGTGCAATCCTGAGGCTCCTGGAGTGGCTGACTTCTATGAGGTCATCTACCGCCACTGGGGTCAGGCACTTCAAAATCTTCAAGCTTCAAGGGCAGAGAAGGCCAAGGAGAAAGGCACTGCTGCTGAGGCTGTAGTCATCGAGATCCCAGATGATGACGGTGACCTTCCAGCTCTGGAGCAACGCTCCCTTGAGCAGGCCAAGAGGGGCATCGTGATTGAAGGGGTGGTTTGCATTGATGGTCCTGAGCCTGAGCCATCTGCTGATAAGAAGGACAATGCGGAGGTCTTGGTTGAGAAGAAGTCAGGTGAGAGGGAGGAAGTCAAGCAAACCACTGACTTGTCTGAGACAGCGGAACATGTCAAGGCTGGGGTGGAGGCGGAGCTTCCTACTTTGGGTCGGGAGGCTGCGCGTTTCCGCATGACCATTGATGATGTGTTGAACCCTCCAAACTTGCCACCTTTGAAGTATCCCACCAAGCCTGCGAGTATGGAGCTGAAGTCGGTGGATGACATCAATGCTAGGATGGAACAGCTTAAGAAACTCAGTTTGGATTTGAACTCTCATCTTTTCTCTGTTTGCACCAGGTGAATTTGTTTTTAATTCTGGGTGGACACATTGATACCATTTTCTTCTTCGACTGCCCAAGGCAAGCCATGGAAAGCCGAAAGAAGAAGGATCACATTCCTGCTGCCAGCGCTGCTCCTTCGCAGGGTCCCAGCACTGGTGCTGGCAGTCAGGATCCCAGCATTCGTGCTCCCCCTCAAGATCCCACTACTTTGGAGACGTTGGCCTACGATGCTGATGCCGAGGCTGCTTCCTATGGCACCCCGTATATCTTGGAAAAGGATCCTGGCTTGCTCCTCACAGTGGAGTCTGCTTGGAAGGTTGATCACCTTTTGAGGAAGGGTGCTGCTGAGATGGATGATGCTGCCTTGGCTAAGCAGCTTCAAGACCTTCCCCCGGGTACTTGTGAGGCACCATTCACAGAGGAGAAGCTGCACCTGGCTTCACCTACCATTGAGAAATCAGATGCCTTTGCAGCCTTTGAATCGCAAGAGAACATGGACGAGCGCTCATTTGGCCCTCAAGATTCCGAGCCTGCTGATGTTTTCCAGCATCCTGGTGCTAGTCCAGAAGGTGGACATCTGGGCATGGCGGAGGAGGATGGGAAAGTTAGAGATGGCAAAGATGTTGACATGCTTGAGCCCCAGCGACAGGCTGAGCCTGCCCAAGTGGTTGAGCCTGTGCTTGCTGCTGAGCCCGACAAAGCGGTTCATCCCGTGCAAGTGGTTGTTGATGAGTCCCCGGCTAAAGTTACTGAAGCTGAGCCAGCCAAAGTGCATGAGCCTGGTGATGAGCCCAAGCCTTTAGAGCATGGAGCTCCCCATGACATGGTGGCAAAGGAGGAAGTTGTCAGCATGCTGGAGTGCATGCTGTCAGATAGCATGGACCTCAAGGATGCGATCGCACAAGTGAAAGGTGCCCCACTGGTCTTGCGAGTGGAGCAGTTCAAGAACAAGAGCAGTCAGGCTGCTGAAAGGCCTGATGATGACGTTGAGCCTAGTCAATTGCCTGGGCAGAGTGGCACGCCCAAAGCCAAAGCCAAGGCGAAAGCCAAGGCTAAGGCCAATGCCAAAGGCAAAGCCAAGGCGAAAGCCAAGGCAAAGGCCAGTACCAAGTCGAAGGCCAAGGCCGCAGCAAAAAGGAAGTCAAAGGCCAGCAAGGCCCCAGAAGAGGAGGCTGATGCTGTTGATTTGGACGAGGATGATCAGGCAGAGGATGATCAGGCAGAGGATGATCAGCTGGAGGATGATCAGGCAGAGGATGACATCCCAAAGGAAGAGCCCCCAAAGATCGAAGTGCCAGAGTCGGTTGAAGTGCCAAAGGTGGAGGTGCAGCGAAAGGCCAGTAAGGCCAAGAGAGACAAGGAGCCCAAGGAGGATGAGTGCAAGAAGGTGGAGCCCAAGCCGAAGAAGCAGCGCCCAGAGGCCAACAGCTTCGCCCGCCGCCCCTGTCCTGCCACGTCCCCTGCCAAAGACCGCTGGGCTGCCATTGTCAAAACGTTCAAGGAGGAGATCCGGAAGCCCCTCATGGACATGGAAGAGCCCATTTCCAAGTGGGAGGAGGGGTGGGAATGCGAATGAGGGTTGCTGATTTTTTATTTTTTGAAGCTATAGAGATAGTTTGGAGAAAAAGTGAGGTTGGAGAAGAAGTTTGGATGGATATCTTCCATGATGGTTTTGATTGAAAATGCCCTTGTTGCAGGAGCCGTTCTTAAACATGGTCATGAAGACGTACAACAAGAAGGGCAACGTCGAGGACCTATCTGAGTACCAGAAGTTGGCACTTTCTTGTGTGCCGGCTTTCCTGGCATTTGTCAGGGCATCCGTTTAGTTGAGTGTTTCACTGTGCATACATCTTTTTGATCCATACGATGGATTGTGATGGGCACGCAGCTTCTTAGCCAGCTGGCATTGGCAGCATACTGTTATCTCAAAGACACCGCAACTGCAATTGTTCAGTTCACTGTTTTCTATTTGCAGTGTCCAAGTCTTGAGCCGAATAGTATATAGTATATATTTTAAATATTATATATATATCATATATATACTATATATTGTATACTTATTATATCAACTATGTTCTTTGCTTGCTGTGAAGCTGCTTAGCTATGTGAGGGGCTCCATGCATGCTGCATTGGAGATTATAGGTTTTCGGGTTCCCTGCGTGTGTGTGCACACGCCATGAGGGTGTGATCACGAGCGCATTGCTCGTGCTGGTGGCTGCTAAATGCAGCATCTATCTGCGATCTGGAACATTGGATTGAAAAAAAAACAAGTGTTAATTAACTTACTATAACCATTACATGCTTCCTTTCACCAGTTTGCCACTCCCATAGAAACCCCATGAAACCCCTGTATGCCCCTGTTGCTAGCCTCTCAGCTGTCTCTCCGATTTGCCAGCCATTGGCCAGGTTCTGCATGTATGGCCTGCGGAAAGGCCAAATTGGGCTTGCGAAATTCGGTGTTGGAGCGACCCATGAACAACCATGCCAGCCCAGCACAGTTTGATACGGTGATGGGTTAGCATTTTTGAATGCAGTCTTTACTTGCATGGATTCAACAGCTGAATGCATTGAGCTCGAGGTCTTGTGAAATATAGTAGCTTACAACTTCTGGTTACAACAGTTCTTTTGATTGTGTTGCATACAAGATATGTTATAAAGATGTCCAGTGTGGGAAGGCTAAGATGTTTTTCATG